GGCAAACAGAAAGAATTAAAACCTTCTTTATGTAATAGAATAATAATAGAATAATAATAGAATAATAGCTTGCACAGGTCCTGACATAGATATACACACACATGCAATATCTATACATACTTGTCAATATACATGTATGTATTTGTGCATTTGTGTATATATGTGCATATATGTATGTATTTGTGCATTTAAAAACACATACCCTTACTGTTAAGGTTTTATGCAATTGTATTGTTGTATTGTATAAAATTGTATTGCATTGTATTTTGTATTTTACATAATTATATTGTATTTTATATAATTGTATTGTATTGTATTGCCTGGCCTTATGGCTGTAATAGAGTGATTTGATTTGATTTGATTTGATTTGATTTGATTTGATTTGATTTGATTCGATTCGATTCGATTCGATTCGAAAGAAGTGTACTCTCCCCTACCACCCGTGCGCACATCTCAAGGCAGGAAAGATCGACCATCCGAAACATGAACAGTTCATGCAGAAAAGAGTGCACAGAAAGAGCCAGAGAAAGCCAAGAACCCAACTCTATTTTGGCAAGATGGAAATTCCAGGTTCTTTTGACCTAGGACTCATCTCTCTTTGACTGAAAACAACATAATAATGGAGGTTCATTTAGACTTTTAATGTATGGAGGCGCTTCATGTGTGAAAAGGTCTAGCAACTGTATACAGGAAGATCCTCATGGTGTCTGCTTCTTGACCTGGCCTTGCTTGTTGGGATGACTGGCAAACAGCAAGGCAGGGGGCCCTGAGAAGCCAAGAGCCTCTTTGTCACCCACCCAGAACATTTCCCCTGTCCTGTAATGGCCCCAGATTCTCATGCCAGGAGGAGCAATTTCATAAACCCGTTGTGCACTCTGCTCTTCTCCATTCTGCCTTCCAGTAACCTTGAACAAAGAGAGCAGAGACCTGGAAAGTGAATTCCATCATCATCATAAACAAGACTGATCATCCACTGGATCATTCAGCATAAGGTAGCACTTTATTTCTAAACAAGATATTAAGTGGTAAAGTTGAAGTAGAGATGGCCGCTGGCTGTTGGAGAGAATGAGGCTGTCTTGCAGATGCTCACTTAGATCTATTCACTTGGCTGGCGACATTTCAGCGACACCTTAAAGGGAGATGGGGATTGTGTAATCGCAAAGTGTGGTGTAAAATCTGGAGCTTGCGATTTATTTGGCCACGACAACTGGAAGTTTCTGAGAATGCTGGTGAAGAAGAGGAAGAGCTCCATCCGAGCCAGGTTTTCCCCTAAGCAGACTCTTGGTCCTGAAAAGTCAAAGTGAAGGAGAAGAGAGCAGCCATTCAGCCAGCTGAAAGCTCCAACCTTTTTCAACAGCTGGACCTGTTTGGTCCTCCACACAATGATCCCAAATCTCACCAGGTTGTCAAAGTTTCTGAGTTTTTTTGCCTACTTCCCCTCTCTAAAGGACTTACTTTGGATGCAGCAAGTCTTCTATTGCTTAGACTGATATTCTCAGGTCGGGATTCATTTCCTTCCTCTCTTTTCCTGCTTGACT